TTTTTTTTTTTTTTTTTTTCTTTCTTTTTTGGAGTTTTACTTCCTTCCAACAAGGAAGGCAAGGTTTTCCTGCTTCCATGATGTTGGAAGGCAGGTAACTCCTTTATGGAGGCTGAGCTCCCTTCCAACAAGGAAGATGAGTTTTCTTTTTCTGGCCTCTAGCATGATAGAGAGCAGTCTACAGCCTAAGACCCATCAGGAGGTAAGAAACCGGTTTGGGATTCTGCCTTGCAAATTCTTTTTAAATGATTAAACTTAGCATTAACAATCAGCTGGTGTTAATTTCTGCTTACCCTTAGAGTACTCAGAAATCAAATAATTTTTGTGATCATTGTTAGTTTAGCAGCATTTTGTCTGAGCTGAAATACTGTAATAAGATTAAATTTTTTTTCTTTTTTTTAAATTGTAGTTTAGGTTCTGGGGTTCATGTGCAGATCATGCAGCATTGTTGCATAGGAACACACATGGCAATGTGGTTTGCTGCCTCCATCCCCCCGTCATCTGCATCTGGCATTTCTTCCCATGTTATCCCTCCCCGACCTCCCCACCCCTACCCCTGCTGTCCCTCCCTTGGCCCCCCACCAACAGACCCTAGTGTGTGATGCTCCCCTCCCTGTGTCCATGTGTACTCATCGTTCATCACCCACCTATGAGTGAGAACATGCGGTGTTTGATTTTCTGTTCTTGTGACAGTTTGCTGAGAATTATGGTTTCCAGATTCACCCATGTTGCTACAAAGGACACAAACTCGTCATTTTTATGGCTGCATAGTATTCCATGGTGTATATGTGCCACATTTTCCTTGTCCAGTCTATTGTCGATGGGCATTTGGTTTGATTCCAGGTCTTTGCTATTGTAAACAGTGCCGCTATGAATGTATGTGTGCATGTGTCTTTATAATAGAATGATTTGTAATCCTTTGGGTATATACCCAGTAATGGGATTGCTGGGTCAAATGGAATTTCTATTTCTAGGTCCTCGAGGAAGCACCACACTGTTTTCCACAATGGTTGAACTAGTTTACATTCCCACCAACAGTGTAAAAGTGTTGCTAATTCTTAACACAAACTGTATTGGGGCAAGAGGCAAAATGCAGCCTCTGAAGGATAGTATGTGTGAACAAACCAAAATGCAGAATCCTCCCTAGAAAACAGGTGTGCCTGGCCTTCATTGGTGGAGTAGTTTGCTTTCTTTTTTATCTTTCTTTCTTTCCTTTTTTTGAGACAGAGTCTGGCTCTGTCACCCAGTCTAGAGAGCAGTGGTGCGATCTCAGCTCCCTACAACCTCCACCTCCCAGGTTCAAGTGATTCTCGTGCCTCAGCCTCTTGAGTAGCTGGGATTACAGGTGTGTACCACCACACCCAGGTATTCCTCGTATTGTTTTGTAGAGATGGGGTTTCTCCATGTTGGACAGGCTGGTCTTGAGCTGCTGGGCTCAAGTGACCCACTCCCTTGGTTTCCCAAAGTGCTAAAATTACAGGTATGAGCCATGATGCCCAGCCTGGCAGGGTGACTTTCTTGTGATCACTGGTGTCAGTTCAGCCCTCTGGCTTGTCCCTGTTTCTGGTGACCTGTGGGTTCTAGATTGGCCTTCTCTTGGTGTAGTTCTTTATTTCCATTGGGTCAGTTTTTAGTCATATTTGATAATAGAGGCCTTGTTAAAATAGCACCTCTCTCCTTTTTTACTTTATGCTGTGAATTAACATAGGCTTTTATTAAAAGATTGGTAGTTCTAATGAGAACAGAGTTTTGAAAAATACTACCCTGTGTCTTAATTATCACATGTGATGATTTTAGTATTTCACCCTCATTATTTTAATGGCCAAATCCAATTCTGGGGTGGGGAAGCAGGAGATTCTAGCTTTGAATACCTAGCCATTGATGAATTTCCAGAAAATTAAGTCTACACATGTTCTAGTAAAATTCAGAATGCCTTCCCCCTCTTACATACTGTTTCTTTTCGAGTTTCTCCACTGGCAGTAAAAGAGAAAAAACAAGTACTTTTGACAGTTTACTGAAAACCTGCTTATCTTTGAACCACACACATATTTTCCTTGAAAGCTGTCTCAAATAAGTGCCAATTGCACAGAGCGAGTGCACAGAGAGAGAGAAAAAATATGGTTTTGAATTGTGTACCCTGCAGAAGCTTTTTCTATTACAAAGTTTTCTATAATAATTTTTCTTTGTTGTTTTGTAAGTAATAGGGAAAAAGAAAAGTGTTGTGACATTCAGAGGTAAAACAAGCATGGGAAGGGAAAGGAGCTGGCAGCATGCTTCCTCCTGGTCATTGCCAAGCTGTAAGAGCCTACCTTGCAGACATAGTAGCCTGATTTCAAAGTTGGGGTGGGGGCTTTGGAGTGGGGGGGTGATAACTACTGTTGTGGGAAACCTCTGAGATAGGATGACTTCTGATACTTCCTAGGGCAGGTTACTGTGCTTTTTTACCTGCTACAATGGGAGGTTTGTGTTAAAGGAAACCCAGGGAAGGAGAGAAGGGGCAGCTCAGGAACCTCAGCATTCACTGTAGAACTTCTTTTAATTATTATTATTATTTAAGTTTTGGGGTACCTGTGCAGAACATGCAGGTTTGTTATATAGGTGTACACCTCCCATAGTGGTTTGCTGCGTCTATCACCCTGTCATCTACATTAGGTATTTCTCCTAATGTTATCCCTCCCCTATCCTCC